AGGGGGCAGGCCTGAGGTGGAGAGAAAGGCAACTGGGGTGAGGCTTTGAAACCCAACAAGCAGCACTGTGGTGAGCTCCCTGGGTGGCTTAGGTTTGGTTTTGCCTTGGGTATCTCAGACTGTCTGCAACCCATAATACAAAGACAGGTGACAGCCTCAGTGCAAGTCTGCTTTATCCAGAAATCTAAGAAAGGAGCCGAGCCAATCAGAGATAGCACAGGTGCAAGGCGGCCGTGAGACCTCCCCTCACTGGGGTCAGTGCTGCCTCTGTGGGGCACAGAGGGCTCCCCTACACCATGGCACTGGGGACCACTGAGACCATGGGGGCAGCCTGGCAGTGCCCCACCCCCACCAGGGTGCTGTCGTGAGGAGCTGCACTCCATGAGGGATGCCCTTGGGAACAAGGGTCCCTTTGCACGTCCACCCACCTGGCTGAGAGAACTGGGTGCTCCTCCTTTTGTGGTGCAGGGCCAGAGAGAGAGATTTAATAAGACCTGGAACCTTGTTACACAACACCACAGTTCCAGATCCAGCCTAAAACAACTTCCCACACCAACAGCAAGAGGAGCCCCACTTTAGAAAAATAACTGCAGATCCGAACGGAGAGGATGCATGTCAGACTGTCCTAAAACAACTTTAAGGACCATGATGAGCTTGCTCCCTGAAGCATGAGCAGTTACCACAGAAACACTGGAAATGAACTTAAAACCAAGCAGCAGGTAACAAAAGAACCAGAAGATTCCAAGCAGAACCAAGGGAGAATTACAATATCCAGAACTTCCCAATAACTCAATCAGCTGACTGAATGGCAGGATGGAGAGGACAAAACAAAAATAAAGGGGTCAGGCACCAGTGGCTCACACCTGCAATCCTAGCTACTCAGGAGGCTGAGATCTGAGAATCACGGTCCAAAGCCAGTCTGGGCAGGACAGTCCATGAGACTCTTATCTCCAATTAACCACCAAAAGGCTGGAAGTGGAGCAATGGTTCAAGTAGTAGAATGTTAGCCTTGAGAGAGAGAGAAAAAAAAAACCTCAGGAACAAGAGCCAGCCCAGGACTAGCACAAAATAAATAAATCAGTAAACTTGAAATCATATCTGGAAAAGATAAATCTACAGATCCAAGGAGCCTAACAAACCCAAAATACACCCTAAAAAATCCACACTATCATCCAGCTTCTACAAAGTTGTGAGATAGCAAGACAGGACCTCTGAGTTTGCACAGCGAACACGGCCTGGCAGGGGGTGGGAGTGGCCCAGTTTTCAGGGGTCAAAAACAACAGTGGACCTGTAGTAGTGCACCAGTGAAAACACCCTCAGGAATGTGCCAGCACACCTACCCTAAGTTTTTTAAACCAAGAGGAGATGACCCAAGGGGAGAAAACATGACAAAAGACATCTTTGTTAAAGCCCCTCCGATGACTGCAGTGGTTCTGAGAACATCACCCAGGCAGGGCCCTTTGCCCAGTGCCCCTCTGCTCATCAGAGAAGCACTTCCAACCCTATGGCCACATCTCCTCTCAGGCTTGTCATGGGGCCTGAACTCTGGGCCTGGGCGCTGTCCCTCAGCTCTTTAAGCTCAAGGCTAGTGCTCTACCACTTGAGCCACAGGGCTACTTCTGGTTAAGAGTCTCATGGACTTGACTGCCCTGTCTGGCTTTGAACTAAGATCCTCAGGTCTCAGCCTCATGAGTAGCCAGGATGACAGGTGTGAGCCATCAGTGCCCGGCTCCTCCCATTCTTTCTCACTGCACCTTTGCTGCTGCCCTGGAAAACGTCAGTTTATAATCATGGGCTTGTTTCTTTTGTGGTTCTCTCACCTGCACATCTACCTGTGAGGGAAGAGGTGGGCTTATGTTTCCCACTGTAACCCACAACCTGACTGCCTAGTGCCTGACATTCAGCATGTATTTGTGTCCATGAATGAAATAAATGCACGAATGAGTGGATGGATAAACTGATGAATGATGGATAAGTGGATGGATGATGGATGGATGAGTAGATGATAGATGGATAATGGATGGACAGAAGGAAGGAAGGGAGGGAGGGAGAGAGGAAGGAAGGAAGGAAGGAAGGAAGGAAGGAAGGAAGGAAGGCAGGAAGGCAGGCAGGCAGGCAAGGCTGTTAGTCAGCTGTTCAGAGGAGGGGCTGGGACCCTGAAGGTGCCCCATGCTGAGGTCAGCATTGGTCTCAAACATCAGATTCTCATCTGCTAACAGAAATGGCCCTGTGGCCTCCAGAAGACATGAGACCCACCTGAGGTACAGAAAGTAGAACAGGGGTTCGGACAGAACTTTTTCATCTGGAGAGGGAGAACACCAGGGGTGCTCCAAATGTGTAGAAAGGTGGAGACCCGGCTGGTCTGGATGGCCACCAGGTTGCCACCAACTCCTGCAAGGAAAAAACAATAGAGTTTCCCTCCTCTATCCCAGGCTCTGGGGTTCTATCTCCTCTTTCAAGGTCACTTCCTCCAGGAAGTCTTCTTTGATTGATTCAGGATGTGATGTGCTTTACTTCTCTCTCCCTCAATCTTGCATGACTCCCAGGTAGTGTGGCGCAGACCTAGAATGAGGTCCTGTCTGACCAGCTGGTCCTTTAAGGGAGAGAAGTGGGACAAGCAAAGCAGGTTCTCAGAAAATATGTGTTGATGGCTGGTGGTGATCAGACCTAGGGAAGGAGTGAGTCTGAGGGAAGAGGAATGGAGAGTGGATGGTTTAACAAAAGCTTGAAGCCTGGGCACAATGACTAGCTCCAGCAAATCCTAGTTACCTGGGGATCAAAGATTGGGAGGATTGTGGTTCAAACCAGTTGGGCAAAAAGTTCACAAAACCCTATCTCAACCAATAGGTCAGGGATCTGATGGTGCAGACCTGTTATTCCAGTTGGACAGGAGGCATAAACAGGGGGACAATGACCAGTCCAGCCCCAGGAGAAGTGACCAGGCCAGCCCCAGCCGTGGCTGCTAGGGAAACCCACTGCTATCTCAGTCTTTGTTTGTTGTTTTGTTTTGTTTTTGTGGGTCGTGAGGCTTGAACTCTGGTCCTGAGTACCGTCCCTCAGCTCAGCTCAAGGTGAGAACTCTACCACTTGAGCTACAGCGCCACTTCAGTTTTCTGGTGGTTTATTGGAGATAAGTCTCATGGACTTTTCTACCCTGGCTGGCTTTGAACCTCGATCCTCAGATCTCAGCCTCCTGAGTAGCTAGGATTACAGGTGTGAGCCAGGCGCCCAGCTTTCAGTCTTAGTTTTTAAGAAGACAGAACTCAGATTTTTAGGTGTAAATGTCTGAGTGTTACTGTCAGCAATGACTCTCACAGAAAACAAACCAGCAGGGCCTGGCACCCATCTCTGAGGGCCACATCAGAGTGCACATGGGAAGCCAGAGTGGACTCTGTGCTCAGCTGTGGGCAAAGCTCAGGTCCTGGCAGTTCCTGTGAGGGCAGAGCTAGCTTTGTTCCCAGGTCTCTTTTCATCTTAGGAAAACCTACCCTACAGCCCAGGCCGCCACCTGTTCACAACTTGGCTGCTCAGCAGCCTTCAAGAGCCTGGATCCAACCTGGGACTGGTGTTCAGGCCCAACCATCAATGGGGATCTCCCATCCACGGGCCATGGGGAGCCCTTGAAACACTCACCACACATGACGGGCGTAAATATGGCCATGCCTTTGTACTGCTGCTTTGATGCGGTCATGCTCAGGATGAGCCCTCCAACACTGTGGAGACAACAGGTGGCACCAAGCTGTCAGAGCAGGCCCCCAGCAGCCCTGCACCACCCACCCGCCACCCCCCCAGCCCTGCAACACAGAGCGGACCCCCAGCAGCCCTGCACCACCCACCCGCCACCCCCCAGCCCTGCACCACAGAGCAGACCCCCCCTCAACTTGCCGCCCCTAGCCCTGCCACCACCTGTCTGCCACCCACCCAGATTCAGCAAATTGCCCCTCCTATCCACAATGTCTGCTGCAGTTCCAGTAGACCCCAGGGCCTCTGCACCCCTGGTTTCTGTCTCCATCTCCATCCTGAGTCTTGGTGCTAACAGCAACCTTTTACACAAGGACCAAGCCTCGACTCTGTTGCTGCTGGGCGGACACAGTACCCTCACTGTGGCCAAGATGACAATGTTGCTGCATCATTCATGCTCCTCCTGGAGTTCAGCAAAGGCTTGCCCACTTCTTGGATAACTTAGAGATTTAGAGAAAGTAAATCCATTGATGTAAGGTTCCTGGAACCTTCTAGAAGCAACAATTTTTGGACTTCACTCAACCTCTTTTGCCTGAGGTTTAGGGTAGAACATGTTACAGTGGACTAGAGAGGCCCCCGTCTGGTGTCCAGCAGGAAGGGGTAGAAGAAGACAGCCTTGTGGGTAGAGACAACCCCACCAGAGACAGGCCTCTGAGGTGCTGCAGCAGCCATGCTGCAGTCAGCGGCCACAGAGTCAGCAGGATCTCAAGGCCAGGGAGAGGGACTGTGGCCTACATGGAGGTCTCAAGGCTGCAGGGAGCAACAGCAGCCTGCTTGAGTCCTGGTCCGGCACTGGCCTTTGTAAAAGCCACAGCACCATGTTGGGGAGGATTTCTAGGCTCCAGGGTGCCCATCAGATCCACCCTCCCCTGCCCTGCCCACTTGGCTCTGCCTGGCCCCCTGGTGCTCTGTAAGCAGGGTGCAGCTCAGACAGCGAATGAGGACTTGGATTTTTGGTGAAAGAGACAATGAAAGCAGAGATAAAGGAGTTTAGGAGCTACTGCCACACATCACGACGACCGCACACCACTGCAGCCTCCCGGGGCACTGGTGTCACCTCACTTGCGGCCCACGGCCTCCAGCAGGCCAGGCAGCACTTGGGGCACTCACCTGCTGATGACCATGGCCAGCACAATGGGGAACCACCCAAACTTCAGGATCTTCATGATTGGCGGGTTCTGCTTGGCAATGACCACCCAGAGCGGGGTCAGAGCCATGAGACCCGCGCAGGCCAGTGGTGTCAGGTACCAGGTGTCTAGAACAGAAAGCACACACAGCTCCTGGGGCATGGGTGGCATGCAGCCCGGCCTCGGTGTCTGCACACTATAGGTGAGAGGCTATTGCTCACAGGGCCAGAGACCCCCATCTCGTATTTGTTCCAGCTCGGTGATGTGTACGTAAACCCTATGCTCAGGGATCGAGTGGGCAGCCAACTCTCCCCTCAGCTGTGAGGACTTATCAGGTCAAGACCCCTGACTCCTGAATGTACCAGAAACGTTCATAGACTCATGGGAGAGACAGACCAGACAGTGGTGGACAGACTGAATCCTAGATCATATGCTGGAATAAGCTGGGGCCAGTGGAGGGCAGAGAGAGGGTCTGAGAATTCTTATTCCTTTTACAATCAAATACAAATAATTAAGTCCTATGCAAATCTGCTCATTTTGATTCAGTTTGGTGGAGGTTCAAAGTTAGGTTATTGGTTCTGATTCCTATGAATCGTCCCTGTCACTTATACAAACCTTGAGTCTCTCTCAGATGATGAACTACCAGGGAGTTGGTCTACAGCTGGGTCAGGAGTAGCCCGGCACCTGGCTGGGTCTGGATTCCCATGGGGCACAGTGGGAGAATCAGAGCTTTGAGGCTATTCCCTTTGTCTAGGCCAGCGGCCTCTGCTCCTGCTGGCCTCATCCCTTCAGCCTCAGGTCCTCGACAGCCTCCCTGCCCACCTCCGTCCCACAAGCAGAGACTGGCATCCATGTCCACAGCTGGAGTTGTGCTTTTCTTTCTAACCTGGTTTCTGCACAGTGACCCCAAGCTTTGGCACTGCAGGACTGGACTGGTACACGGTGCCACCCAATTGAAATGCCCATGATGGGTGCCCCTCCTACCTCTGTGTTGGTACAGGAAGCTGCTAACCAAGGCCAGAATGGACAGTGTGATGAGGTCTCCCAGGCTGGCCGCAATGGGTGTGGCAATATTGTCTGGGTTGACCCCCAGTTTTCGAGCACCAATCACTATGCAGACCATGAGCAGTCCTGCAAAGAAAAGGGAGGAGGCTCAGGGGCAGTGGCCCCAGGAAGGCTGGAGCCCCCAGGGGCCTTGGCATGGAAGAGCTGCTTATCAACTGGCTCTGTCTACCTCCCCAGAGGCATAGTGGACTGTCCCACTCACAGTTTCTCAGTCACCCTGGAGGCCTGAGGCATCTGGAGTCAGATTTGGCTTTGTGATCTGTGCACATGACATCAGAATGGCCCAAAAATATCCCAGACCAGGGCAGGTGACCTGGAGCCATGAGGATGTGGAGCTCACAGTCACAGATGAGGGGGTGGGCCCCATGGATGGGAGTCTAGATGCCACCCTGGTGCTGGGAGCTCAGCTTGGCCCTCTGAGGTCCCTTATCTCAGGGGCCTGCGTGCTTTCAGCGGACACTGATTATCAATGCATGTATTCCCAGGACGGGCAGTGACAAGCAGGTGACGGAGTGTGGCTCAGAGATCTGACAGGAACTCCTATGGATGCCAGGACCCTAAGGCCCCTGCCTGTCCGAGAACCCCTGATGGTACAGACTTCTGGCTCCATCTATCCCATCCACTGCTCGGACTGGATGCAGAAACTCACTTGGTTCTTTAAGAAAATACTCTGCATCATGGTTATTGGAGGCTTAACACATCACTAGGAATACTGTGACTCTAGAAATAATTATAGCAAGGGCCTGGCTTCACTCCCAAACACCACGCATAAAAAATAAACGAGTCACCGGGTAGTGGTGGCTGGTGCCTATAATTCCAGCAACTCAGGAGGCTGAGATCTGAAGATCATAGTTTGAAGTCAGCCTGGGCAGGAAAGTCTATGGGACAGACTCTTAACTCCAATCAACTACTCAAAAAAAGCTGAAAGTGGCACTATAGCTCAAGTGGTAGAATGTCAGCCTTGAGCAAAAGAAGCTCTGGGACAGCGCCCAGGCCCAGACTTCAAGCCCCAGGACTGGCATGCATGCATGAATGCATACATACATAAACAAGTCACCTAGTGGTGGTGGCTCAGGCCTGTAATCCTACCTACTCAGGAGCCTGAGATCTGAAGATTACAGTTTGAAGCCAGCCTGGGCAGGAAAGTCTGTGAGACTCTCATCTCCAACTAACCATCAAAAAATCAGAAGCAGAGAGCTGTGGCTCAAGTGATAGAACACCAGCCTTGAGTGAAAAAGCTCAAGGGTGATGTTTAAGCCCTGAGCTCAAGTTCTTCTAGATGGGAACAAAAATACACAAAGAAACACATCAGGACAATTATAATCACTCCCTCAATAGGGTCCAAAGCCACTGTCAGGAGCAATTTGTGCCCCATCTGTGGCCAGACCTGCATCTTCTTTTGAAGTGTGTGAGAAGGTGTGCAAAGGCTGAGGCCCTTACACAGACAGCGGGGAGGGGTGTGCCGCGGCCACAGCACAGGGCAGTGCTGGGGTCCTAGCAGTCTACCCACATACTGAGGACGCCTCCAGTACCGGAACACACGGGCTCACCTAAGGCAAAGGCGGCGAGGAAGGCGGTGATGGCACTGCTGGCGCACAGCAAGGCCACCTTGGCCAAGTCCAGCTCCTCCCGAGACACGGTACCCAGCAGCAGGGCAGCCATGGCAGCCAGGAGCCCGACGACGGTGGCTTGCACCTGCAGGGCACCAATCAGACACATGAGGCCCTTTATCCCCCCACCTGCCACTGCCTTTCTCCCACCTCCTCGCTTACCTAGAGGAGTGCACTCATCCCTCACCACTGCTTCTGTCCTTCACCCTACAGTCTGCCCACAGCTTCATCAACAGTAGCTAAGACTCAGTTACTCAGTTACATGGAAACACACACCTGGGAAAGAACTGGGAGTACACTTAAGTAAAATCTATGCCCGCAGCATCACGGCCCACACTGTCAGCCATGGCTTCAGGCCTGGTGCAGAGGCAGAGCCGCACTAGCCACAGGCCCGCTTCCGTGCACACAGACAGCAGAGAGGAGCATGCAGAAGTGGCTGCTCCTGGGGGCCCCAGAGTGAGCCCTGGGCAGGCAGCAAAGGGACAGAGGACAGAGATGGATGTGCTGGGAGCAGCTGGAGGAGGAGGAGCCCTGAGTGAGGGTGAGGGTGAGGGAGGGGAGCAGCTGGGGAGATTTGATTTCTTGGTTGGAAAATGTCCCAGCCAATGTGTCCCAGCCAATGTGACCAGGGGATGGCAGTGTGTGAGGCAAAGTTCTAAACTAGAACCACATGCTTGAGCTAAGCAACTTAGACAAGCACTCAGGATTTTGGAGGTGTTGGTCCATGGTAGGTTGGCCTCATTGCTTTTGGGCTTGTGCATGTCAGAGTGAGCCCACACCCCTGTGGCCAGAGGAAGCAGTGACTGAGCCCCACAGCACCCATCAAGGACAGGACCAGCGACCTAAGGCCCCAATTAAGCTCTGCTTGTATTTTTTTCATTTGATTTTTGAGACAGGGTCATATTATACAACCTCAATCTTGCAATCCAACCTCCCCAGTGTTAGGATTACAGGTGTGTGCCACATGCCAGGTTAGTTTCTAAGGGCCTTACCATTTCCAGTAGTCCCAACAGGGACCCACTTTCTACTGCATGGCCCTTTAGAGGATACTGCAAGCAGGCAGCATTCTATACAGATGCCCCAAAGACTGAGAAGGGACAGGCAGCAGCAGAGACAGGTCCTAGGTCCAGGAAGGAAGGACCCTAGACCCTCAGAAAAATTAAGGCCCCTTACAAAAGGCAAAGTCCAAGTCTATCAGCTAGAGGACTAGGTGAGCTGTGTCTTTGCCTTGAAGGTGCTAACAGCAAGGCTACTCATAAGGAGAGTCCTTCAAGGACCTGACTTGGGGTGAAGCCATAAGGGGCTGGGGGATGGGAATGTGGATCCCAGGACAGGCATCTCCTGCAGGAGGCTGTGCTGATGTCCGGAGGAGGGCAAGCCTCTGAGCTGCTGCAGGAATGCAGTCTGGTAGACAGATGGCCAGTGGACCCCTGTCCTCAAAGCTCAGTTTGGAGTGCAGGACAAGGTTTGTGTTGCCTTCTCCCACCCAGACTTTGCCTGCTCCAGGTCCAAGAAGGAGAAGTGTCAGTCTGACAAAACAGGAAAACAGAGACTGACCTGCACAAGGGCGAGGTTGCTGCTGATAACTCTGCGTTTTTCCTGGGGGTCATCAATTTGCCCGGTGTTGGCCTAGGGTACAGAAAAGGGACATAGTACGTCTGGCTGGACCCAAAGCAATTGGTAGTCACATAAGAGAGATGAAGAAATACCATTCCACCAACATCAGGACAAATCACCCTGCTTGTCAGTGGCCAGCACAAAGCTTCCTCTGTGGGTGGGGATGGAGGAGAGGACACAGGCCCTGGAGATCTAGGTAGGCATCATGGGACATCCCTCCAGGCTGTCTTTGAGATGCTCACATCCTGTTTAATGACACATAGAGTGAGAGTGGACAGATACAGGAGACATCCACACACAGTTGTAGAGAGAGGGCAATGGTGGCTTATGAGCACCAAATAAAGACTGTAAAGCTATTATGAGACAAAGGACATTCTGTAAAAATACCAGGGTCAAATCAACAAGATGCAACAATTATATACACACCTACTGAATGTACATCAGTTGATGTAACCACATGGGGCAGACACTGAGCGAACTGAGGGCAGAACAAACAAGTTTACAATTACAGCTGGGGACACAAGAAGACAGAAGAGGCTTGGGGAATGTGGGGACCTGGTGGACATAAACAGAAGAACGAGGCTAGGCCACAAAGAGGTGTTAATATACTTATGGTAAAATACATCATTCCCAATTACAAGAGAATGAAATTAGAAACCAATAGCAAAAGGTCAAAAGAGAAAGTCTTCAAACATATAGAAATTAAACAACTGTATCCTTGAAGAACCAATGAAGAAATCCCAGGGAAATTAGAAAATATCTCAGGCAAATGAAACACAATATATCAAAAACTTACAAGACTCAGAAAAAGCAGGATTCAGGATTAAGGAGGACCTATATCTACAGATATATATAGTCAGTTGTGGGTCTTGACCTGGGCACTGCTACTCAGCTCTTCAGCTCAAGGCTAGCACTCTACCATTTGAGCCACAGTGCCACTTCTGGTTTTCTGGTGGTTAACTGGAGATAAGAGTCTCATAAACTTTCCTGCCGGGCTGGCTTTGAACTGCAATCCTCAGACCTCAGCCTCCTGAGTAGCTAAGATTACAGGCGTGAGCCACCAGCACCTGGATGCAATGCAATATATATATATATATATATATATATATATATATATATATATATATATAAAACAGAAAAGCCATACATCAGTGGCTCACGCCTATAGCCCTAACTACTCAGGAGGCTGAGATCTGAGGATCATGGTTTGAAGTCAGCCCAGGCAGGAAAGTCTATAAGACTCTTATCACAGAATAAGTCAGAAGTGGTGCTATAGCTCAAGTGGTAATGCTAGCCTTGAACAAAAGGAGCTTAGGGACAGTGCCTGGGCCCACAGTTCAAGGCCCAGGACCAGCAAAAAAAAAAAAAAAAAAGAATAGAAAAGAAATAGAACCTGAAATCAACCAAGTAAAAGTTATACCTTCAGAAACCAGAGAAAAGAACAAATTAACACCAAATTAACACAAGGCTAAGAGAAGGAAGTAATAAAGATGTATAGAGGAGATACTAGAGAAAAATCAATGAAGCCAAGAGTTGGTTCTTCAAAAAGATCAAAGCAATTCAAAACCTGTAGCTAAACTAACACACACACACACACACACACACACACACACACACACACACACACTCATAAAAACCGTAATTAGAAATTCAAAATGTGGACATTGCTACCAAATCTACAGATATAAGATATATGTCAAAACTATATGTGAAAGCACTAAATAACCTAACTCAGAATATACACCTTGAGGATCTGGGAATGTGGCTTAGCCATTGAGTGCTTGCCTAGCATGCATCAAGCCCTGAGTTTGATTCCTCAGTACCACATAAAGAGAAGTGGTACTGTGGCTCAAGTGGTAGAGTGCTAGCCTTGAGCACAGAGAGGCTCAAGGACAGTGCCCAGGTCCTGAGCTCAAAGCTCCAGGACTGGCAAAAAAAAAAGGAAAAGAAAAAGAAAAAATGCCTTAAAACCCATATCCAGGACTGAATCACAAAGAAATAGGAAATGCAGACCTATCAGTAACTGGCAAGAAACTGAATCAATAATCAAAAGCTTCCCAATAGAGAAAATTTAGGATTAAGATGGCATAACTGGTGAACTGTACTAGATTTTACAAAGGAATTAACACCAATCTTCTCTAACTCCTCGGAAAAACTGAAGAGCAAGTAACAGCTCCAAGTCATTCCAAGAAGATACTATAAGAAAACAAAATCATAGACCCAGTATCACTATTGAACATTATGAAAAACAAGTCTTCCACAAAATACTAACAGACTGACATAACAGTATATGGAAAACACTACACCCCTCGACCTCTTAGAACTTATTCTTGGGGTACAAGAGCAACACACAAGAAACAACATGTCTTCTTAGAATAATCTAAACCAAGTGACCGTCTCCACTAATGCATGAAAAGTATGTGACAAAACTCCATCCCTTTCAAGATGACACCCACAACTAGGAACAGATGGCAGCTATCTCCACCTAGGAAGACACAGTAAGACAGACTGGAAGGTCAGCGTGGGACACATACATCTGTTCTCAACACTCCTATTCAACAAGGCACCAGAAGCCCTGGCTTGAAAAGAAGGAAGACTATTCACATTGAACAGGAGAAAACAGAATTACCTGCATCCTACAAGATGAAAACTTTACATATCACACACATCCCATTTGAATTAATGAATTCAGCCAAGTTGCAAAGTACAAAATCAATTGTGTTTCTGTTGATTGGCATGATGACTGTCCATTAGCAATGGGCAATTCAAAGGGAATTAAGGAAATTCCATATTAATGGCATAAAAAAGATAAGTCACATTTCGGAGGTAACTGTAGGAAGCAAGAGATGTACACACAGAAAATTTGCAATGCTGGATAGAAGTTACAGAAGATACAGCAAACTGAACAGATAGATGTTAGAACTTCTCAAAGCAACCTACAAATGTAATGCAAAAAAAAAGTAAAAATAAACTGAATGATCTGAAAATGCAACTGTTCTATGCATCAAAAGATACAATCAACAGAGTGAAAGTTAACTTACAGGATGGGAGAAAGCATTTGTGGATCACATAACCAATAAGGGGATACAGAATGTCTCAGGAGTCACATTCTGGCTGTCTTTGAGGCCTGCCATTCAGCTGCCCAAAGCCCATCCCTCTCTCTCTCTCTCCAGCAGGTTCCCTTCCCAGCCCTCTGTGTATTAGCTGTTCTCTCGGTCCCTGAATACAGCTGCCAGTCTTCTGTCCAAGCAGGGTATGAAGTGGGCATCAGAAAGAAAGAACCACTATATGTTAACAGGAGGGGACTCAGCCCTGTGCAAGAGGTGGGAAGAGGGCACAGCCAGGAATCTCTGGTTCTTGGGCACCAGGAAAAGCCAGTCGGGAGAACAGAGCATGCTGGGAAACCCTGCTACTCTGGGTGATTAAGATCCTTCCTGTCCCCACTACAGGATCTTACCTGGGCCCACACTGGCTGCTGGGACTTGGTTGTGCAAGTGTGAAGGAACAGCAGGGTCTAGGAGGTTGTGGGGGGGAGTAGCAGCATGCGGACATGCAGAACCAACTGTCTGGACTAAAGGGAAATGGGGGGCCAGGGGCACTGAGCTGGCTCCTCACCTGAAGTCTCATTTGGCTGTGGTAAGTAGGATTCAGGTGACCAGGAAAGCATCATAACAAAACAAAGCTGCATACCCACTGGAGAGTACGCATCACTGAGGAGAGGCCACAGGGAACTGCGTCCCCAGACCGTGGGTGGCCTGGGACATCCGTTTACTTACTGCAGTGGAGAGTCGTGAGGCCAGGGTCATTTCCAGGTTCCCCTTCAGGCCCACTAGTGGCGGCACCAACGTCAAAAGGTCTTTAACTTCTGTGAACACTGGCCAGTGCTGGAAGAGAAGGCATAATTGGCAGAGCCCCCTTCTGTCTCTGGCCCATAGGAGCAGGGAAAATCAGGGGCTGGGCCTGGCTGAGGCCGGGGCTGCAGTGGCAGTGCCTTTACTGTCTCACCTGTCCCTGGAGTTTCCACAACAGAGAAGAAATTCTATCAAATATAACAACAAACAAAAAGAAACAGACAAATCATACACACTGGATGGGATGTATGTTTTTAAAAAAGTGGTAGAGAAAATCTTGTTTGTGGGGGTAAAAACAATTTGTTTAACATGCAATTAAACTGTTATTCACAATCAGTTTTGAGTACCCCATCAGATCTGAATTTGGGGCCTATAGGCAGATCCCTGTTTTGCCAGGGAGAGGACAGGAAGCCTGGGCATTAGTTTCACTACCATCCACAGGATGGAGCTGTTCAGAAGTGCACAAATCCATGAGGCCCCTAGGGGGTGCAGTCAGCCAGGGCTGACTTGAGGCATGGAGGAGAGAGATAAAGAAAGGGTTAAATGTTTTTTGTTTTTCATGCAATTGTTTCTAACATATTTATAAGATTATTTCTATGTTGCTTTGTATGTCCCTCCCCCATGGTATAACCCCTACTTTCACTGTATTTGATGTTGGTATAATTTGTGGAGGGGAAGGGCAAAAACAAATCGTTTAACTTGGGATACAGTTGGACCCATTGCAACAATGAGATGTACAAGTCGTTATGTCGAAAAACGAACTTTACAACTTTGGTGGGGGGGGAGGATCGGGTGGGGGAAGACAACGGGGGAGTATGGGAAGGGATGGGAAGGGAAACAAAGAGGAGGCAACAATGCTTGATAAGAAATGTACTTGTTATCTTGCCCATGTAATTGTAACTCCTTTGTACGGTATTTTCACAATAAAAAATAAAAATAAAAAAAAGAAAGGGTTAAGCCAAAGGCCTGTAGGAAGGTAATATTCCTTTGTTTGGCTGATTGTGTAAAAGTATGGTCTTAACTAGCATCACTCTTGACTTTAAACATTTTCTCCGTACTTATCAATTGTATTCCCTCTTGGAAATTATGGTTTTTTTTTGTTTTTTTTGGGGGTCCGGTCGTGGGGCCTGAACTCCGGGCCTGGGCGCTGTCCCTCAGCTCTTCAGCTCAAGGCTAGCGCTCTACCACTTGAGCCACAGTGCCACTTCCGGATTTTTTTCTTTTTGCTTATGTGGTGCTGAGGAATCGAACCCAGGGCCTCCAGCATGCAAGGCAAGTGCTCTACCACTGAGCCACCTTCCCAGCCCTGGAAATTATGTTTTACCTTTTGGCTTAATCCACTGACTTGTTTGAATATTTTCCAATAAAGACATTAGCCCTTAGAAATAAAAAAGGGAGGGTAAGGGGTGCACAGAAATGAAGAGACAAAGAGTGAACAAATGCAGCAGTGCCACTCACTAGACCCAATGTTAAAAGTGAACTGTACAAGTGGGGACAGGAGGGAAAAACTGGGAGAGAGTGAGGGAAGGGGTGACATTGTCCAAAAAGAAATGTATTCATGCTGGGCGCCAGTGACTCATGCCTATAATCCTAGCTACTCAGGAGACTCAGATCTGAGGATCATGGTTCAAAGCCAGCCCAGGCAGGTAAGTGTGTGAGACTCTTATCTCCAATAAACCGCCAGAAAACCAGAAGTGGTGCTGTGACTCAAGTGGCAGAGCACTGGCCTTGAGCTGAAGAGCTCAGAGACAGCCCACAGGCCCAGAGTTAAAGCCCCACGACTGGCAAAAAGAGAAATGTACTTATTACCTGATTTATGTAACTGTAACCCGTCTGTATACCACTTTCATAATAACAATAAAAATTAAAATTAAAAATGATTTTAAAAACTCCAAAAAGAGTTTGGCAAGAAAAGTTTGCCCAGTGCTTGTGGCCTCTCCTTACCCCTCCCTCACCCACAGGTCGGTTAAATTCAGAGCACAGACCCAGTTCTAACAAGTCTGGTCCTAGCTTCTCCCTCTAGGAACTTCAAAAGAAAGCGATGTCAGAGTCAGGGGCCCACCCTTATCAGCCCAGCTCCCACCTCCCTGTCTTCCCTCAGCATCTGCCTGGTCCCGCCTGAGCTGCCCTATCAGCCCAGCACACAGCCTGCTCGGAACAGGCTGTGACACCATTGTACGTGCACTCTGCTGGCCTGCAGTCAGCTGGCTCAGCCTGTACCTCCTCTTCCCTGCAGTGTCCCCCTCCTGGGCCCTGACTGGCCTCATGCTCAAGGCCAATTAGGCAGCAGCCAATGTGGGAACAAACTCCTTTTCTGCACTTTATGCCTCCCCCTCTCCCAGGGACAGGAACTTGCTCCAGGCTCTGTCCTCGCCCTCCAGCTCAATTCTGGTCTGTTTGGGGCCCATAGTCCACCCCCAGTACCCCCCCACCCCCGGGCAGTAAGCCCAAATGCCCTTCTAATCTCCTTTCCCCTCTAAATGAAGGGAAAATGCCTCGGGTCTTGGCCCTCTGGGTTCTGTGTGGGTCTCTTGCCACGATGTCTGGGCCTCCACTGTGGGCTCCTTCTTCACCTCCCATTCCCTCATCCACAGCCTTTCCATTGCCTCAGTTACCTACCTCAGTACAGCGGCCTCACCCCACAGTATGTCTGCCCCACAGGGCCATGCCTGTCAAGGCTGCTCTGGTCTCCCTTGATCTGAGTGGTCCCCTCTCCTGGCTGGTGGTGGCTGCGACATGATTCTGGCCATGAGATCATAAAAAGACACGCAGGCATCACACTACCAGGAGGGGGCCTATTCTAGACACAGCTGAATGGTGCCCCATGCTTACATTGAAGCTCTAACTCCCAGTACCTCAAGATATAACTGCATTTATAGACTCAAAGACTTTTCTGCCAGGGCCAGGCTGGAACCAGGATTCTCTCATTCTTGGCCTCCCAAGTAGCTGGGAATGACAGGCATGAGTCTTGGGGCCAGCTCAGATGGAGTCTTTAAAGAGGGGGTTGAGTTGATAGTGTGTATAGGTTTGATGTAAGAGGAGGCAGTTAGGACATGGAGCAGGAGGTGATATGGGAAAAAGGGGAGAAGACAGCATTTGCCCACACAACAGTCTTGGGACAAATGCTGTGCCTCTATGCTGCTTCCTATAGACCAAGCTATGGCCCAGCCCAGGGCAGCCCTGTTCCTCTAAGGCATTGCCGGGGCTCGGAGCCACCTCCTCGCCATGGTTGTCTCTCCCTACACCCAGCCCCTCTCCACTGCCACCCTCTTCCCAGGCTCCTTTCAGATGACTATGTCCTTGTTCTCAGGGCTATTTGGTAGGATTTTGAATCAGTCACATCCAGGACCAAATCCACTGATGGCTGCCCTAGGCTCCTGTGGGGATTCACAGCCTCCAGCATCCTGCCTCACCACACAACCAACCACACACCGGATACCACATGACACCTTGAGATCTCCAGACTCCTCTCCAGCACCAGGCCCTCTGGCCAGGCCCTACCCCTCTCCTGCTTTCCAGGATTTCCCCCTTCTTGTCCCTACCCCAACATTCAGGATGTCAAAACTTTTACATTCTGCCACTGGCTTCTCAGTCAATACTTGAAAGACATCTACTTCTGCTGTCCCAATCCTCTTACAACAGTCTCCCAAGCTCCTTAAGATCTCCTTCAATTTGTCTCATGCCCCACACTGACTCTGAGCCCTTCCTCTCCAGGGGAGGGGCAGAGGCTGCCCAAGCCCTGCCCAGCCCCCTGCTGACTGACAGGTGCCTTCTGGGCTCCAGGGGCTGAGGCACTGAGAAGGAGGGGTCATAGGTTAGGAATGGAAAAGTTCACCAAGGGAAGACTGGGCAGCTTCTCCCCAGATGGACAGGTAGTTTCAGGAAGGGGCTGGAAAGCTTTTGGGGAGACACGGGGCTGAGGTTCAGGGAGAGAAGGGTGTGCTCTCTTCAACAAGCTGGCCCAGCACCAAGACTGTGGAAGGACCCTGGCATTGCCTAGGGGTGCAAGCTGAGCTACCTGGGAGGCATCCTGAACTGGCATTTCAAGGTCAGGTATATTAGGGCGGTGAGAACTGTTTATTGAGATATAGCAGCAAGGGGCAGCAACATTCCCATGGGATCAAAGGTTGTACAAGGGAGTAGACTTAGGGTCAGGCTTATATGGTGTCTGAGAAAGGAGCAGGGGTTAATGAAAAATCCACTGGGTCTAGGGAGGCGGGAGCTTTACAGCTGGGCCCACAAGGGGATGTTTAGGTGGATCGCCCTGCCTGCATGCCAAGCACCTCCACACACACCTGGGGTTTTGCCTGTCATCTGAATGTGTCTAGGATAATAGGGTGGTGGCCAATCCTTCAGCAACCACCTTCCAGCTGCAGGATAGATACCCAGGAGAGGCCAACCAAGGAGAGGTTGCGTGCACAAAGGAGAGGCCAAGTCCATGTAGGGGAGGCCGTGTGCATATAGGGTCATGAAGTGTCCCAATAATAAATGGGTATTTAATTTTACAGATTAAAAGGCAGTGGTACATTGTGTGCTAGCATACATGAGGTTCTGGGTTCAATCCCCTGGATGGCAGAAGGATCCACCTGGCATCTCCATGTCTGAGCCATGAGCAGGCTGTGATGAGCCTGCTTGAGGCAGTCTACGCAGCTGCCAGCCCAGGAGAGTGCCAGCTTGCTGCTCAAGGTCTGCCATTCAGTAGAGCAGGTCTTTTTTTTTTCTGTTCCTGGGGCTTGAACTCAGGGCCTAGGTGCTGTCCCTGACCTTTTTTACTCAAGGCTAGTGCTCTACCACTTGAGCCACAGCACTATTTTCGGCTTTTTCTGAATAGTTTATTGGAGATAAAAGTCTCACGGACTTTGCTGTCAAGGCTGGTTTCAAACTATGATCCTCAGATTGAACCCAGAACCACATACAGAAATTTAAAAGGGAGAAAGAGCCGGACACTGGTGGCTCATGCCTGTAGCTACTCAAAAAGCTGAGATCTGAGGATCACAGTTCAAAGCCAACCAGGGTACGGAAGTCTGTGAGAC